CCCCCCCCCCCCCCCCCCGCCCCGCTTACTGACTGACACACTCTGGGGCCCAAGACCCAACAATGTGGGTTTAACAAGCTGTCCAGGTGATGCTGGTGCATGAGGAAGTGTGAGAACTGCTGTTCTGTGGTATCAACAAAGCAATGTAATCGATTCCATACAGCATGAATTTCCTACTTTCTCTCTTCAAGAGGCACCTTACTAAGATTTCTTTTGACCTTTATCATAGGAAACCAGAGCAAGAGTTTCTGTAACCCACTCCCAGCACTTGGGAATTCCACAGGGAAAACCACTCTTACTAACCATTATGTTTACGTGTCTATAAATATCCATGTTTAAACCAGATTAGAAATCTGATCATGTCAAGGTCTGCTGGATTTTAATTTAACAGTTATAAAGCAGGTTTTTCTCAGTTCCAGAATAGATCTGTCCTTCTTTTTTCTGTTGAAGAAAAATGGAGTTGAAGCCATATACATGGAAGACATACATTCTACACTTGTTCATAGCAAGGAGTACAATCATTCTTTTGAAAAGAAGGGGGGAAATTATATACTGATTTAATCTAATGACTTGTACGTTCATACAAATCTTGGGACCCATCCAGAGTGTCTTAAAATGTCATAAAACAAAATTCTGCCTTACCAAAGTATTATTATGTCAGATACTCTCATTTGCAGAAAGCATTCCACTGAAGCAGCCCTCCCATGACACCTTCCTCAGTGAATTTGGCCTGTCTGCTTCTTGCTGAGAGAGCTGTTCTTGTACAAGGCTGAACGGAGAGGGTTCAGATGGTGAAATATCTCACGTTGTCTGTTAGTTTCCTGTGGCTGCCATAACAAATTACCACAAATGTGCAGGCCTAAAACAACACAAATTTGTCTCACAGTTCTGGAGGTCAGAAGTCCAAAATCAGTCTCAAAGGGCTAAAATTAAGGTGTCAGCAGGGCTAGTGCCTTCTGGAGGCTCCAGGGGAGAATCTGTTCTTTGCTTTTCCCAACTTGCAGAGGCTGCCCGTATTCCTGGCTTGTGGTCCTCTGTGTCATTGAAGACAGAGGTCACATCACTCTGACCTCTGTTTCTGTCATCGTAGTTGCATCTCCTTCTCTGATTCTGACCCTCTTCCTCCTGTAAGGACTCTTGTGATCACATCAGGCCCAGATAATCTGAGATAATGTCCCTATCTCAAGATGATCACATCTTAACTTGAGCAGATCTGTTAAGTCCTGTTACCATGTCAGGTTCTGTTTGGGTTGCTTGAATTTTGCATGCCTTGTTGCTCTAAGCCTTGGACCCATTAAATGACCCGTTCCGGAATCCATAGACTTGGACGTTATTCATTTTTTTATTTGTCAAATGAATATCTTTCTAGCCTGTATTTCTATATATTACCCCTACAATACCATCACCGGTGATTGTTTACCAGCTTTAGAATTAAAATGTAATCTTAACCCCAATTTGAACATTTTTTTATTGATAAAATTAGCACTTCGTATAGTTTGTAGGGCCAACATTTATTTGTATCAGAGAATTCCTGTTGCTTTGCTATGCCATGCATACATGTAATTGTCAGTGCACAGGATGCCCAGAGCACCCTCTGGAGGTATCCATGCCCTCACGTACCACATCGTGCTCAATGCATGTTACAGTAAGTAGTTGGCCTGAATATCAGCCCACCACTTGATGAAGTTTATTCCTTTGTAGCTGAGTTAAGCCACAATAGATATATATTAATGTTACTCATTAACTTTTACATCTCACAGGTGTGGGGCTTATATCAGTCAGGATAGGCTTGGTTAGGCTGAGATCTCGGGGTGACCAAAGCCAAAAAGGTATATATTTGACTGACTTTCCATGACTGCTGTGGGTTGGCTGGGGGCTATTCTCATCAGAGTGTTGGGGTGCAGCCTGTTGGAAGCTCCATCTCCATGTGTGTTGACACAGGAGAAGAGGCAAAGCAGGCAGTGGCCCCAGAAGCTTCTGCCTGGAAGTGACATGTGGCAGTCCCACTCATATTTCATTGGCCAAAGCAAGTTATGTGGCCATGCCTAACGCCAAGGGAACAAAGGAGTCTGCTTCTGCTGTGTGCCCCAAAGGTGAGCCATAATGTTTATGGTCAGCTCTAATGACCCTCACAGGGGTGGCAATTGTGTGTATGACATTACTGAGCAGGACTGAGACAAGAGAGCACAGTTCCACCAATCCCAAACCACCATGCCACGTCCTATGTCTATACTTTCAGAAGATAGTCCCAGTTCATCTGCTGCCCGGCATCCCTGATTAGATTATTCTAACCCAAGTCACTGTCATGTCTGGTGTGGACACCTGCAGTGGCTGCTCTTTGTCCCCCTGGCCTTCCTGTAGTCCAGTTTCCACACTGTAGCTAGAGTGAGGTACATACAACATAAATCACATCGTGTCATGGTAGGTTGAAACCCTCCTGTGGCTCCTATGGCACTTACAATGGGGACTTCTTTGTATAGCTTGCAGGGAGTCCCCTGATATGGAGGTGCCCTCCCTCTCCTACCTCTTCTCATGCCCCACCTCTCTCCCTCTCTACCCAGCCACACTGACCTCATAAGACACTTGCACCTCAGGGCCTTTGCACCTGCCATTCCCTCTGCCTGCAATTGCCCTTTCCAGGTCTCTGCATAAACAACTCCTTCAATTCTTCAGGGCTCAGCTCAGATTTCCCCTTCCCTGACCCCCCTCATTCATGCTGTCCCTTCAGTCACTCTATAGCCCATTACCCTGCTTTAATTTTCTTTGCAGTGTGTGCCATTAATTGAAATGACTTCTTTGTGTACTTAAGTATTATCTGTC